TAGGAATTGACTCTCTCACATGTATGCTGTATGTTTGTATACATGCATATGTGTTTGTGTATATATACATATAAATGTATACATAAATTCACTGATAGGTTTAACTTTATAATTATACTATATAATATATACTAGTGTATAATATATATAATTATACTAGTGTTACCACATCAGTTTTGACTGTTCTGTTGTTACCAGTTTATAGTGTTTCATTTGTTTATTCTGGACTCATTTAATCATGTTTCTTTCCTCAAACTCCCATTTTCAATTTTACTTACTATATATATGTTTATAAGTAAATATATATATACATATAAGTAAGTATATATGTAAGTAAATATATATATATATATATATATAGATAGATAGATAGATAGATAGATAGATAGATATAAACATACTCTGCTTCATTTTTCTCCTTCACCCCAAATCTTCTTGAGCAATGAATGCTATAAATATTTCTTTGAGCACTCTGGCCATGTCAGATAAAGCTTATCTGGAGCTTACATTTGTCCAACAGGACAATTATTGATCTGCTAACAATCTAATCTATCTCCTTCAAATTCATGCACATTGCTTAAATAAATAGTACTTATTCATCATTGAAGACTTTGAAAATTTAGAAATCTAAAGTAGAAAGCAAAAAATTAACCATATTTTTTGCAATACAGACTTAACTCTTCTCCTGCAAGCTTTGTTTCTTTGTCCATGTATATACATGTGTTGTTGTTGTCCAGTAGCTAAGTTGTATCTGACTCTTTGTAGCCCATGGACTGTAGCACACTAGACTCCTCTGTCCTTCACTATCTCCTGGACTTTGTGCAGATTTGTCCATTGAGTTGGTGATACTTTTTAACTCTCTCATTTTCTGCCACCCCCTTCTCCTCTTGCCTTCAATCTCTTCCAACATCAGGGTCTTTTCCTTTTCAATGAGTAGGCTCTTTGCATTAAGTGACCAAAGAATTAGAGCTTCAGCATCAGTCCTTCTAATGAATATTCAGGGTTGATTTCCCTTAGGATTGACTGATTTGATCTTCTTGCAGTCCAGGGTAGTCTCAGAGTCTTTTCCAGAACCACAGTTCCAAAGCATCAGTTCTTCAGTGCTCAGACTTGTTTTACGGTCCAGCTCTCATATCTGTACATGACTACTGGAAAAACCATAGCTTTGGCTAACTGGACCTCTGTCAGCAAAGTGATGTATCTGCTTTTTAATACACTGTCTTCCCTGGTGGCTCAGATGGTAAAGAGTCTGCCTGCAATGCAGGCAACCCAGGTTCAGTCCCTGGGTTGGGAAGGTCCTCTGGAGAAGGAAATGGCAACCCACTCTAGTATTCTTGTCTGGAGAATCCCATGGACAGAGGAGCCTGGAGGGCTACAGTTCATGTGGCTGCAAAGAGTCATAAAGTGACTAATACATTCACTTTACAGGTTTGTCATAGCTTTTCTTTCAAGGAGCAAGTGTTTTTATTTCCCTTTCTGTGAAATCATTCAGTCGTGTCCGCCTCTTTGGGACTTGGTGGACTGTAGCCCACCAGCTCCTCTGTCCATTAGATTTTCCAAGCAAGAGTACTGGAAGAAATGGTTGCCATTTCTTTCTCCAGGGGATCTTCCTTGGAAGAAATGGGTTGCCATTTCCTTCTCCAGGGGATCTTTCTAACCCAGGGATTGAACTCAGGTCTTCCGCATTGCAGGCAGACGCTTTACCGTCTGAGCCACCAGGGAAAGTTTCCCCTTCTAGTTGCCATGAAATAATGAGACTGGCTGTCACGATCTTAGTTTTTTAATGTTCAGATTCAAGCCAACTTTTTATAAATTCATTTATTCATTCATTCTTCAAATATGCTTATGTATGTGAATGTGCAGATTTATTCATTGAGTCGCTGATTCAACAACAAAGACATGGTGCTATATATAAAGGTAACTAGCAAGCTTTTTAAATCCCACATACTTTCACTCTTAAAAACTTTTCTATGCTTTAAATATTGCCTAAAATCATTATAAGAAACAGTATTTGTACAATTATGTACAATATATGTACAATTTGTACAATATATGTACAATTGGCTGTGGAACCTGCAGATATGGAGGGTCAGCTGTCCTATGCACTTTATGCAAAGGAATTTGATATTTGCAGGGGCCATAGAACCAGTTCCCCTTGGATATTGAAGGAGGTCTGTAACTTTTTAAATCATTCTCTTACGTTAAATGTCATGTGATATTTGGTTCTTCATTCAAAGTTTGCTCTGGTGTACAAACTTGTATATAAATATTTGTAAACATTCTTGCTGTTTCTATAGGATAGATCCCCAAAAGTAGAATTATAGACTGTAAGGGGGTAATTCTGTTTATAATATTAACCTAAAATTTTTAAATGCTTTCCAATAAGTTTCATAAATTTCCTCTATAGGAACAGGCATATGAGAATGCTTCTTTCATTTCTTCTTCTCAAGTGTTAGCACTATTTTTAATATTTGTTAACTTGATACATAAGAGAAAGTTCTTCACTGTACATTTTTTTTTGCCACTGTAAGAATTGTTTTTAAATTGGAAGATACTTGCTTTATAATGTTGTATTGATTTCTGCTATACAGCAATGTGAATCAACTATAAGTATACATATGTACCTTCCCTCTGGAGCCTCCCTCCCCTCCTCCATCCCACTCCTCTAGGTCATCACAAAGCATTGAGTTGAGTTCCATGTGCTATACAGCTGCTTCCTACTAGCAATCTATTTTACACGTGGTAGTATATGTATGTCAATTCTACTCTCTCAATTCATCCTTCTTCTTCCCCCACTGTGTCCACAAGTTCTCTGTGTGTCTATCCTGCCTTGCAAATAGGTTCATTAGTGCCAGTTTTCAAGATTCCATATATATGCATTAATATACAATATTCATTTTTTCCTTTTTGACTTACTTCACTCTGTATAACAGGCCCTAGGTTCATCCACCTCACTACAACAGATTCAAATTTGTTTCTTGTTATGGCTGAAGTAATATTCCTTTGTATATATGTACTACAACTTCTTTATCCATTCATCTATTGATGGCTATGTAGGTTGCTTCCACATCTTAGCTACTGTAAATAGCGTGCAGTGAAATTTGGGGTACATGTGTCTTTTTGAGTTATGGTTTTTTTCAGGGTATATGCCCAGTAGTGGAGTTGCTAGGTCATACGGTGGTTTTTGCCCCTAGATTTTTAAGGAGTCTCCATACTGTTTTCCATAGTAGCTGTATCAACTTACACTCCCACTGACAGTGCAAGAGGGCTGTTTTTTACCCACATCCTCTTCAGCATTTATGTTTGTAGATTTTTGGTGATGGCCATTCAGACTTGTGTACAGTAATACCTCATTGCAGTTTTGATTTGCATTTCCCTAATAGTGAAAGTGAAGTCGCTTAGTTGTGTCCGACTCTTTGCGACCCCATGGACTGTAGCCCACCAGGCTCCTCCGTCCATGGGATTCTCCAGGCAAGAATACTGGAGTGGGTTGCCATTAAAGGAGATCAGTCCTGGGTGTTCATTGGAAGGACTGATGCTAAAGCTGAAACTCCAATACTTTGGCCACCTGATGTGAAGAGCTGACTCATTGGAAAAGACCCTGATGATGGGAAAGATTGAAGGTGAGAGAAGGGGACGACAGGGGATGAGGTGATAGGATGGCCTCACCGACTTGATGATCATGAGTCTGAGTAAACTCCGAGAGTTGGTAATGGACAGGGAAGCTTGGCGTGCTGCAGTCAACGGGGTCACACAGAGTCGAACACGACTGAGTGACTGAACTGAACTGACAACATGTGTCTCCTGAGAAAGGCAATGTTATTTCAATGAAATATTGGGTTGGCCCAAAAGTTCATTCTGGTTTTTCTGTAAGATGTTCTAGAAAAGCATGAATGGATTTTTTTGCCAACCCCATATTTCAGAGTAAACACACACCACACACACACACACACACACACACACACACACTACAACATGAAAGTGATATGACAGAAGCTAGGGCAATGAAAATTGCAAACAGAACATCTTTTCCCATGTACATCTGAGCCATGGAATACAGGAATTAGAGTCACATTCTTAAAATGAGATCTTAGAGATTGAGAGGTGTTTTATATCATTTTGAGGAGTAGCATAGCCTAGTGGTCAAGGGCAGAGACTGAAACCAGATTTCTTTGGTTTAAATTCTGTCTCCACCACTTATTAGCCATATGACTTTTGGCAAATTAAATATCTATGCCTCCAGGTTATTCATCTTTAGAGTGAGAATAATTATTGTCCCAACCTTACAGGACTGTTGTGAGGATTTAATGAGTAAATCAGTGTAAAGTGCTCAGAATGGAGACTCACACATTGTAAGCACCATAAAGCTGTTTCTATCATTAATTAGTTAATTACAAAAATTAGTTATCTGATACCCTCTTGGAATACAAAATCTTTTGCTTAAAAATCAAACAAACAAAAACTAATGAAGTGAACAAACCTGATCCTGGTCAAGGGCAGTGCTATGCTGTTAAATGTTTACCAAGTAGCTTGAGGAAGTGTAAAGTCCTCATCTATGTGTACAGATACTTCAGACCACCACATGATGTTACAGAAAGTGGAGATGGGAAGAAGTGTACACAGTCTTCCTTGTGAGCTGATACTGGCTGGCTCCCACAAACCCCTGGAATGGTGTCATTTTCAATGGAACTTAAGTAGATGGTTCTGGAATTTCACACTAAATTTTCAGGTGAACATTTGAAGGTGTTAAGTTTTCCAGATATTTCAAATATTGTGATCCTCACTTTATAGCTCCTTTTTAGCATGTGTGTGCATCTGTGCATACTTCAGGCTAAGAAACCAAGCATTTGATTTGTAGAATTATCTATGTAAATAAATCAAAGAAACAAGATTACACTAGATGAAAATACCAGAGTAAGCCTGATGATCCATCAGATAATTTTGCTTTCTATGAGAAAATATTTTTAAATGACTATCTGAATTAAAAAAAATGATTCTAGGTGTGCACTTCCACGATGATATGCAATTGTACTGGTGGCTACAGACCTCCAGATTGCAGAGTGAGATCCAGAATATCGCCTGGGGAACAGGGCAAGTATCTATCTCTTACATATCCACTTAATAGAATTGTCAAATTGCTTGCCTTCACAAAAATATAGTTAGGTTTTTGCCACTTAGAAAGAAACCAATATTTGTAATTAAAAGGTAAACAAATAGGCTTCCAAAAGAAATAGAAACCAATATGCTTTCTTAATCTTGCTTCCCCCCCCCCAATATTAACTTTTCAATATGACTGAAGCTGAGTATCTTTTAAAATTTTTATTTACTTGTGTCTGATTTTCTCCTTTAAATTATCCTTCAACTCTTTCCCACTTTTATGGTTGATCCTGTGATCTGAGCTCTATACCAGCAACACACCCTGTGTCTAGCACTAATATGTGTCTGTTATAGAAGAAATAATGGAAGTAGAAGATAAACCTTTAGTCTGAAGGAGTTTTCAGTTTAAATGATAAAAATCTATTAATTGCTGTTAAAGAGATGATGGAAGGATGCTAAAACATTATTCTGTTTGTTTATCATGACTTTAGTTTTTGTCATTCGTCCACTGATTTAGCAAATATTTCTTGAATTCCTAATATATATGCCAGGTGCTTATCATATGACACTAAGCATGTACAGATAGCAAAACAAAGCCCCACTCTTCATGGAACTTAAAGAATACCCAGTGCTAATTAGTTGCAGAATTAGAGTTAGGGATCATGTCTCCTATTTTTTATGCCTGTGCCATTTTAGTAACACTGCAGTGACTCTATAGGTAAAAACAGATCCCTAATGTGGAGAGCCAGCACTCTAATAAAGATAAACAAGATATGCACAGCTATAGTAGAATTCTGTGATATGCACCTTGTAATAATGCACGTTTGTTGGTTACATGTCTCTGAAGCTATGAGGGTCTGCTTATACTGGGATTTTGCTGTAGCTGCTGTATAAGGTAGAATACATTAGAAGTTCCTGGAACTTAGTGTCTGTTCTTTCAGAATGAGAGTTTATAGAGATAGTCTTAAGTATTATGATTCTATTATTATTTTTCATTGTTACTTGAATTATGATGAAAATTAAGAACATTGTGATAAGTTTTCTGTAACTTAAAAGTACACAGCTTAATTTTTTTCTCTGATTTTTTATGTATTTTTATTTTTAGGTTTACCCACGGAAAGAACTTCTGAGAAGGGTGGGAAGAAGCAGTGGCTTTTGGCTATCTACATTGCTTTACCTGTTCTTGTTGTAGCAATAATAATAGCTGCTTCATGGAAGCTTTCGAAAAAGTGGTTTAGCAAGAAAGAGGAATCCCAAAGTAGTGGGTAAATTAAATTTGTGTTCTGAAGTTAAACCATTTAAATCTAGTCAGATGTAAGGCAATATTATGAACAGCAACAATACTTTATATTTTACAAGAATTTTGAATGCTACATCAGTATCTCATTTAATTGTTTGAGATAGTTTTGGATATCCTTATTTTAAAGTTTCAAAAATTTCAGAGAATCTGGTTTTAATTACTTACTAATGTTCTTGCCTTGGTAATTGAGACAGGAAGAACTGAAATGCATCCACATCTGTTGTTTTCACATGCCCAGTGGGTCTCATTTCTATTGTATACAAGCTAAACTTTTCCAATATATCATGGCTTTCTCTTTGTTGAAATTTCTACTTTATATACTCTGAAAGTGAAACTGTTGGCCATTTAGTCATGTCCTACTCTTTGCAACCCTGTGGACTGTAGCCTGCCAGGCTCCTCTGTCCATGGGATTCTCCAGGCAGGAATACTGGAGTGGGTTGCCATTCCCTTCTCAAGGGAGTCTTCTGGACCCAGGGATCGAACCTGGGTCTTGCTGCACATTGCAGGCAGAGTCTTTACCATTTGAGCCACCAGGCAATGACTAAATATATAACATTCAGTGTAGTTATATATTCTTGGTGTATTTTCTTTTCATCATTAACAATTGTATCTTAAATTCTATTTTTACTCTTAGATTGTTGTATCCGAGCTTACTTTCTGCAAGTTAGATTTACCTATTACATATTTTTCATCCCTTATTTTCAATCTTTCTCAGATTTTAGTTGATACCCTGTAAACAGCCTTTATATGAAAAATATAGTAGTGGAGTTTGTCATATTTATATGCTTAATGTATGAGCTCAGATATTCATGTTGAAATTTACCATCTTATTTTCTTCCTACTTACTATCCTCTTTTTTGGCATTATTTCCTTTTCCCAAATTCCATTTTTTTAATTATGATTTTTCTGTTTTATTTTACTATTTTGTATATTTTAATTCTGTTTTTATTATTTTAATCATTTTTTAAACTTGTATTTGTAGCAAATGTTATATATACAATGTCTTAATTTAATCATTATATGTAGTCTTCTGAATAAGACAAGGATCTTAGCCTTGTAACACTAATCTATCTTTTTCAATCTATTTGTCATTTGGTTTTTCAGTTTCCTCCAAGTAAATTTTGTGTTTTTTTTTTTTAAATTATCATTATTGTATTTAGTTAACATTTATTAGAATTTCCTGTTACATTTTCCAGATTCTTTGCTTTACCATTCCTTTCTTTTAAATTTAGTTCTCAGATAATTTAAGAAATATAAAAGGCTTCCCTCATAGCTCAGCTGGTAAAGAATCTGCCTGCAATGCAAGAGACCCTAGTTCTATCCCTGGGTTGGGAAGATCACCTGGAGAAGGAAATGGCAACTCACTCCAGTATTCTTGTGTGGAGAATTCCATTGTCAGAGGAGCCTGGCAGGCTACAGTTCATGGGGTCACAAGAGTCGGACACAACTTAGCGACTAAACCACCAGCAAGAAATATAAAAAGTTGCAAAAATGGCAGAGTTTCTTGGCTCTATCACTTAGGTTTTATCAATGATAGCATCTTACATTAACAGTGAATTTTCACAGCCAGGGGACTGGTATTGGTATAGTTTTATCAGTTAAACTATAGACCTTAAAGCTCAGCCTTCAGAAAACTAAGATCATGGCATCTGGTCCCATCACTTCATGGTAAATAGATGGGGAAACAGTGGAAACAGTGGCTGACTTTATTTTTTTGGGCTCCAAAATCACTGCAGATGGTGATTGCAGCCATGAAATTAAAAGACGCTTACTCCTTGGAAGGAAAGTTATGACCAACGTAGACAGCATATTAAAAAGCAGAGACACTACTTTGCCAACAAAGGTCCATCTAGTCAAGGCTATGGTTTTTCCAGTGGTCACGTATGGATGTGAGAATTGGACTATAAAGAAGGCTGAGTGCTGAAGAATTGATGCTTTTGAATTGTGGTGTTGGGGAAGACTCTTCAGAGTCTCTTGGACTGCAAGGAGATCCGACCAGTCCATCCTAAAGGAAACCAGTTCTGAATATTCATTGGAAGGGCTGATGCTGAAGCTGAAACTCCAATACTTTGGCCACCTAATGTGAAGAACTGACTCATTGGAAAAGACCCTGATGCTGGGAAAGAGTGAAGGAGGGAGAAGAAGGGGACGACGGAGGATGAGATGGTTGGATGGCATCAGTGACTCGATGGGCATGAGTTTGAGTGAGCTCCAGGAGTTGGTGATGGACAAGGAGGCCTGGCCTGATGTGGTTCATGGGGTCACAGAGTTGGACACGACTGAGCGACTGAACTGAGTTGAACTGATAGACCTTATTAATATTCACCAATGTTTACAGGCATATATATATAGTCCATGGAGTCACAAAGAGTCGGACATGACTGAGAGACCTTCACTTATTTTTTGATTATGTGTGTGTGTGTGTATATATACATTTTTTTTTTCATGGATCACAGCCTTGCGGTGAAGGGGCTTGCATAACTCAATGAAATGCTGTTCAAGCCCACACAAGACAGACATGTCATAGTGTAGAGTTCTGTTAAATTCTGGTCCACTGGGGGAGGACATGGCAACCCACTCCAGTGTTCTCAGTGTGAGAACCTGTGAACAGTATGAAAAAGCAAAAGTATATGACCCTGGAAGATGAGCCCCCCTGGTCAGAAGGTGTCCAATATGCTACTGGGGAAGAGCAGAGGGCAATTATTAATAGCTCAGAAAGAATGGAGCGCTGGGTCAAATGGAAATGATGCTCAGTGTGAATGTGTCTGGTGGTAAAAGTAAAGTCCAATGCTGTAAAGAACAATATTGCCTAGGAACCTGGAATGTTAGGTCCCTGAATCAAGGTAAATTGGACATGGTTGAGCAGAAGATGGCAAGGTTGAACATTGACATCTTAGAAATCAGTGAACCAAAATGGGTGTTAATGGGTGAATTTAATTCAGATGACCATTATATCTACTATTGTGGGCCAGAATCCCTTAGAAGAATTAGAGTAGCCCTTGTGGTCAATGAAAGAATCTGAAATGCAGTACTTGGGTGCAATCTCAAAAATGACAGTATGATCTTTGTTTATTTCCAAGGCAAACCATTCACCTTCACAGTATTACAAGTCTATGCCCCAACCACTAATGCTGAAGAAGCTTAAATTGACCGATTCTATGAAGACATACAAGGCCTTCTAGAACTAACACCAAAAAAAGTGTCCTTTTCATCACAGAGAATTGGAATACAAAAATAGGAAGTCAAGAGATACCAGGACTAGTAGGCAAGTTTGGTCTTGCAGTACAAAATGAAGTAGGGCAAAGGCTAACAGAGAATTGTAGCTGCCTTGGTCTCCTCAAATGGTATCACCTCAATTTGGAGAGACTTATTTCTCTGCCTGGCTTCCCGTTTCTGTGTTATAGCATGGAAACTCTTCCCTGCAGTAAGAAGGGGCAATCATGGGTCTTTATTTTCTTCTCTCATAAATCACTATCTTGCCTAAAATTCAGTATCTGAAAACCAGTGTTTAACATGTTTTGTCCAGATTTTCAGTTATTTCCGGCAGAAGTGTAAATCCTGTCTGTTACTCCATTTTGATCAGCATTGGAACTGATCTTTATGGTTTGTAACCACACTTTCATAGGTATCTCTCCATCTCATATTCTGTTTGATTTTCTCAGATCATTCTCTCATATCACCATTTCTTCCTTCTCAGTCCTATTCTAGACTTATGGGTTCTATTCTTGTAAAGATCTCTATGGAGATTCTAAATATTCTCAGTTTTTTTTAATCATTTGTATTTCTTGGTGTGTGAGCTCACTGTTTGGCTATGGCTGCTGATGTTAACTACTAGGGCTTTGTAATCATAGACTCTTTTCTCTTCAATATCTATGATTTTCCCATGAGAATTCAGCATGCCCTGTGTTTAAGACTCACACATGTGGGTGGTTTCATTTTTGCTTCTTTTAAAGCAAAAATATTTAAAGCAATTTCTCTGCATGGTGTCCAAGCATTTGTAAGAGTGTGAACTGGCATCCTGAAAGTGCATTTTTTGGAGGCTTGGGACTCCTCAGTGATGCGCTTTCCCCCATCTATCTATGCATGTTGCATATCCCCATTTTCCCTGCTGCATTCCAAAGGCCACTGGTCAGGATTTTTACTATCCTTGTTGAATGGGTGGTATGACCATTCATGGCTTCCAGGTTAAGTAGCTCCAGTTAGGGAGCTCACTTAGGTTTTCTACATGCAAAATCCTCATAACTCCTTCTAAGGAATGATTAATAAATCTTTAGTCCCAAAGTTGTATCACTGGTTTAGACACCCCTGCAATCATTCACTTTTAACTCCTGTTTACCCTTTGAACTCTCCGTTTCTTCATTTTTACTGGCACCAAGAGAATTCTTTTCTTGTTAACCTCAGTTATGTGTTAACAGTTCGTGCTATTTTTTTCAGGCCTCCTCTATGAGGAATGGAAAGGGAAATTTTCCCACCAGTTCAGTCTGTCAGATTGTCTAGAAGTCCGTATGGATTTTACCTTATAAAATGTAGCATTTCTTTATCAATGAATAAAAGATTAAAAGTTGGGGTATAAAGGTCAGAATCAGACATTCAGGATCAAACCTATATTCTGTGTTCAGAAGTGATAAAGAAAAAGCGAATCTGTGCCTTCTTGATAATTCCTCATTGTGGATTTGAAATATACTTTTTATGGATGAGGTACGCAGGTAAATAAGAATGTTTACTTATTTGCATCTCTGTTTAGTGACCTTGCACATTGTTTTCTTTTTTGGTAACTAATCTTGTAAAAGAGATAATACAGCTTATAAAATGGCCAGACTTTTATTTATGCAGTTGACAAGCTCTCTTACGACTAATTTTGGACACTATTTTCCATTTGTTTAATATCCAGGTCAGAAGGTGGCACTCACAGAAATGTCACCAGGTAGGTAAACTGTAAGGCATCTTAAGACACATGTTGAAACT